ATATATATATATATATATATATATATATATTAAAATACTCAAAAAAAAAACAATAGATCAAGAAATTGAAAGAAAGAAATAAAAAACATCATATATTATTTTGACATATGCAAATTAAATGTATTAATTGTTTCGAAATCAGTTTATTAGTTTTTGACTATAACCTAACCTATTAATTTTTATATTAGCGGATCATATTATTTTTTATTTCAGGTTAAAGATGTCAATTCACTAATTTCGCGTTGAGTTCGTCTAGTGAATGATGTTGATTATTACCATCCCTGAGTAGAACTCTCATCATCTCATTTATCTTTTCTTTCTTTCTCTTCTTTGCTTATAAAGGGGGTTTCACTCATATTGAACACAACCACAAACAAGCCATGACTATTTTTCCATTTACTATATCATGGCTTCCTCTTCCTCTACTCCTCTATTTGCCTTTCCTTTATCTCTGTCTTCTCTATCCAAAGAACAAAGTTGGCAATAGAGCCAAGCTTCCTCCAAGCCTCCGAGGCTTTCCATCATAGGCAACTTGCACCAGCTAGGCAAACTGCCTCACCAATCCCTATGGAAACTCTTGCAGAAATACGGTTCGGTCATGCTATTAAAGCTTGGTAACAGCCCAACCCTAGTCATCTCGTCGACAGACATGGCCAAAGAAGTCCTGAAAACACACGACATTGACTTTTGTAGCCGGCCGCCCTCTCCCAATGCAAAGAGACATACCTACAATTTCTCAAACATGGCTTACAGTGATCACTGGCGAGAGATGTGCAAAATCTTTGTAACTGGGCTTCTCAATCCAAGTAGAGTGCAATCGTTTGGGCAAGCAAGTGAGGTTGAGATTAATAATATGATAAACTCTCTACTACTAGCCTCACCTAATCCTGTTGATCTTGACGAGCAAATCTATAGTTTTACGGATGGGTTTCTTGGCACATCTGCCCTGTGTAAAAGCTATAGAGGAAAGCAATTTAAGGGTCAAAACTTGAAAGATGTTGTTGAGGACGCCATTAGAATGCTAGATGGTTTCTCGGCTGAGGACTTTTTCCCATGGATTGGGAACATGGCACACATTTTAACTGGGTAACGTGATAGGCCAGAGAAGTGCTTTAGTATGCTTGATGGTTACTTTCGAATGATACTTGAAAAGTGATGATACATGAAAAGAATTTTAACTAAGTATTAGCTCGGGAAATGAGGTCAGACAAGGAGGTCAAACAAGAAGCCCAGAGCTCAGAGGCCCAAGCCTCGAGCTCCTCTTGGATGAAAGAGCAGAAGAGGTGAGAAGAGAATAGCTGACTAAGAGGAGGCATCCACAAAACAGCAAGAGGACAGTAATTAAGGCGTGAAACTCTCAACCACCCAAGATCCCCTCCCAAAATCAAGGGAAATCCTGTAGATGAAGGGCTGGGATCTTGCTGAAGTTCCCTTAGAAAGAAAGATCGGACTATAAATATTGAACAGGGCCTCCAACAAAGGGGACAAGAAAAAAATATTTGTAAATCACTCTATAATTTATAATGGTGGCCAATATAGATCTGAGGAGCAAGAGAATCCATTCGAGAGTGGACTAGCTGAGCTCCTGAGCTCGGTGACCACTATATTTTCACTTTGCAAGTCATCCCAATCTCCTAACCCTTGAACACTTTGATTCTGATCAATTGGCGTAATTCATTCATTTTTCTCAATTGGCATAGTTAACACCATCAGTTTAGCGCCGTTTGTGGGAACGACTATTCTTATTACAAAAATGCTGATCCTTCAGTAACGAATGGTATCAACTCACAACACGAGCAGAAATCAGATAAATCCCCTGCAGATCCAAAACTAACAAGAAGCTACTGGCGATGGGCAACATGAAAACATTCAGGATTTCATCACCACCGCTGAAATTGATTCCTCTATGGTAAATCCCCCAACGAATAATGAGTTGGAGGCTCTTCGCCTGGTAAACCAGTGTCTGCTTCAGCAAAACAAAGAGCTTTTGAAGCTCTTACAAGGTCCTCAATAGGCCAGACCAACCCAAGGAGGTCCCCACAGGGAGAACATCGGCACCTCGACCCCCTTAAAGAAGTCAATGAAGGGGGTGAGAATAGCCACGCCCCTCCTCCACCTCCTAGGAATGGTGAAAATGAAGAAGGACAAAGTCAGGATGAAGGGATTGAGAAAAATAATTTTCTCCCTGTCCAACAAAAAAGAAGAGAGCAATATTGGGAGTAGCACTTCTATGATATCCAGCAAGAGCTCAGCCACATGAAGGAAGTCGTGAAGGGTAAGACCTCAATGACAATGGATGCTTTGGTGCAGTAAACTAAGTCCCCATTCACTACTGGGGTATTGCATTTTTCTCTCCCTCCAAAGTTCAGAATGCCCCAGATAGAGGCATTTGATGGGACTAAAGATCCCATGGACCACCTCAATACTTACAAAAATCAGATGGAGCTGCATGGATATCAGGACTCTGTGTGATATCGAGCCTTCACCATCACGCTAAAAGGCTCAGCCCTAACATGGTTCAACATACTTCCCCCGACATCAATCTCTTCTTTCAAGGAGCTCTCCATATCTTTTGTATCCCATTTCATAGGAGCCCGGACCTACCGAAAGCCGAGTTACCACCTGTTGAACGTAAAATAGGGACCCAATGAGAACCTGCGGTCTTATGTCCAAAGGTTCAACTCAGAATCCCTAAAGGTGGACGGTTCAGATGAGAAGTTCGCTATCACCGCTTTTATTGCTAGACTAGGAGTGCATTCGAAGGATTTGATGTTTTCGATATCAAAGAATCCACAGGCAAGCATGACAGAGGTGCTGGCTAAGGCAAAAAAGTATATTAATGGTGAGGAAACCCTTCCCTCAAAGGTAAGGAGCTCATCTTCTCAAAAGGAAAAGGTGAAAGAAGAAAAGAAGAGGGATCGAAGTCCTAAAAAAGAAAGAGGATGAGATAGGTCTCCAAGGAGAGATAGGGATCGCTCCCCCAAGGGGAGATGTCAGAGATCACCTATGTCCTACTCAACCAGAGTTACAACCGAGGTATGCACCTCAGCATCTCACTCCTCTCACTTCCATAGTGTCCCAGATCCTGTATGAGGTGTATAATGAGAAGTTCTTAAGATGGCCCCCTTGAATGAAGGTAAATCCATCAAAGAGAGATCCCATAAAGTACTGCGAATACCATAGAGACCACACTAATGACTGCATCCAGTTGAAGAAGGAGATTGAATTCTTGATCCAAAGGGGAGAATTGCATCATTTTGTTGCCCATGATAACCAGAATCGAGCTCCACCACCCCCAGCACCTTAACAGTAAGCCCCTGTACAGCACCAAGAACCCCTAGGGGAAATCAGAGTAATATCTGGAGGATTTTCAGGAAGGGGGAATGCAACTTCGCTACGAAAGCTCACCTATGCAGAATCCGAGCTGATGAGACATTGAAAGTGCATACTATATCCAAGACTCCACGTCTGAACATACCTTTCATTTTCTCAAACTCAGATCTGGAAGGCTGCTAGTATCCCCATGATGACCCTTTTGTGGTAAGAGCAGTCGTTGAAAACAGAACCGTTCATCGAGTTCTGATTGACAATGGAAGCTTTGCAGACATCAACTTTGCACCAACATTTGATAAGATAGGAATAGGCAGAGAAAAGCTCGAGCCAGTAAGTACCCATCTGTTAGGGTTCCTAGTAGAAAGGGTACTACCCTTGGGGTCAATACAACTCGTGCTCACAATCGAGGACCCTCCCCATCAGACATCCACTACCTTTGGCGTACAATATGCTGATTGGGAGACCTTCCCTCAATGCAATGAGGGCTATACCTTATGCTTACCACTTGGTTATGAAGTTTCCTACAGAAAATGGAGTTGGTATGGTCCGACGAGATCAGCGTGTAGCATGGGAGTGCTACATGACATCTATCAAGAGGAAAGAAGTCAAAAATATTCAACTGGACAAGCTCGACATGAGGGACAAGGTGGGCACTAGACCAACATGATCAGAAGAGATAGAACCAGTTTAGCTTGACGAAGAACCAGAACACCTTATCTATGTAGGGTCTAAGCTGAGCAGAGAAATTAAAGACCTTCTCATTCAATTCCTAAAGGAAAATACATAAATATTTTCCTGGAAGCAAGAAGACATGGAGGGCATCAAGCCTTCAGTCATCACGCACAAGCTCAGTGTGAACCCCACTTGCAAACCCGTTAAACAGAAGCGAATAATTTTTGCCCCAAAGTGCCAAAAGGCAATCAATGAGGAGGTCAACAAACTTCTTCATGCCAAAGCCATCAGAGAAGTGGACTACCCTACCTGGCTGGCAAACGTGGTCCTTGTCAAGAAGACCAATGGCAAGTGGCGACTCTATATCGACTTTACATACCTTAATCGAGCTTGCCCCAAAGATAGCTTCCCTTTTGCCACGGATTAATCTGATCGTGGATGCCAACTCTAGACACGAGCTCCTCAGTTTTATGGATGCTTGCTTTGTATACAATTAGATTAGGATAGATCCTAATGATTAGGAGAAAACCTCTTTTATAATCAAGTAGGGAATATACTGCTCAAGTCATGCCTTTCGGGCTGAAGAATGCTAGAGCCACTTATCAGTGACTCGTAAACTGGATGTTCCAGAGGCAAATTGAGACCTCCATGGATGTCTATATCGATGACATGCTAGTGAAATCACTAAATACAGAGCTTCACATTGGGCATTTAGAAGAATCATTTCAGGTCCTCAAGGGGTACAAGATGAAGCTCAACCCCGCCAAATGTGCCTTCGGAGTATCTGTCAAAAAATTTCTGAGCTTCATAGTCAACAACAGAGGAATTGAGGCTAACCCAAAAAAGGTTAAGGCAGTAATGGACATGCAGCCACCATCCAGTATCAGAGAAGTTCAGCGCCTTATAGGAAAGATTGCAGTCTTGAGCCGCTTTGTATCTAGGTCAACTGACAAGTGTCAGCCCTTTTTCTAGACCTTAAAAAAGGCATTCCAATGGGACTCTCAGTGTGAAGAAGCATTCAAAGCTCTCAAAAACTATCTCACTCCTAGTGCTGGTAAGTCCTTTGGAAGGAGAGGTAATCACCATAAACCTTGCTGTCTCGAATTTTTCAACCAGCACAGAACTAGTGAGGGAATGAGACTGAGCTCAACAACCAGTCTACTTCTGTAGAAGAACATTGAGAGGAGCAGAGGAAAGGTACCCAAAAATGGATAAACTAGTCTTGGCCTTGGTTACGACTGCGAGAAGACTCAGGCCATACTTCCAGGCCCATACTATTGAGGTCCCAACAGATCAACTGATGAAATAGGTGTTGCATAAATTGGAATCTTCTGGGAGGTTGGTTAAATGGGCCATTGAGCTAAGTGAGTTTGATATCAGATACAAGCTGTGGACAACAATCAAAGAACAGATTCTAGCAGATTTCATTGTAAAATTCAAGTCAGAAGCATCTACGGAGGCAACACAGCTGGTTCTCGACCTCCCTGTGTGGAAGCTTTCCATAGACAGAGCTGCCAACGCGCAAGGGAGTGGTGCTGGTCTGATTCTGACTTCCCCAGATGGAGTAGATGTCGAGTATGCTCTTAGGTTTGGGTTTAAAGCTTCGAACCATGAAACAGAATATGAAGCAGTCATTGCTAGGCTAAACCTTGCGTTATCAATGGTGGCAGAACAACTTGAGGTTTGCAGTGACTGCCAACTCGTGGTAAAATAAATAGAGGAGTCTTATGAGGCCAATGGCAAGAAAATGGTCATGTACCTTAGAAAGGTACAAGAATTGATTAAAAAATTTGTGTGATTTAAGATCAGGCACGTCCCTATGTCTGAGAATTCGTGAGCAGATGCACTGGCAAGACTGACAACTGCCTTGTAGGAAAACCTAGCTAGATTGATTCTAGTGGAGTATCTAGCAGAGCCGTCAGTAAACACTAAGGAGGAAGAAGTGCTCCCTGTTCTAGCCTTACCTAGCTGGATGGACCCTATCATAGAGTATCTTTAGAATGGAACCTTGCCAACAGACTCGAAGGAAGCTACAAAGCTGAGAACGAGGTCAGCCAGATTCTCTATCTTGCAAGGGAACGTGTA